GTTACTCATTGCATAAAATATGCTACAGTTGAGCAACACAATTCATAATAATAACAATACAATATGTACTGTAGATAAAGCCCAGTCACCTTAGAAAAAATAGCGGGAATAGGAGCCAAAGTTTTGGAAATTAGTGTACGTGTTCCTTTTACCATTAGGTACATTTTATCAAAAAAAAGTGACCATCCGTACCTGTAGAGCTTGCGCAGCCATCTTGGAAAATAGATGCAATATTTCAGTTTTTCTCGTATATATCGGTAACTGTCAACTTCATCGCGATAAAGTTAGAGAGGCAAAAGGAAGCTGAAAAAATTTCTCGTAAAAAAGTATGTATTGATTATTTCCGAAATATTCACGGTTTTGGACTTATGTCACCACAACGATTTGGCAAAATATGGAATTCTACTGAAAACCGTCTGGACAAACTATAATTCAGTTGTATACGCTCCTGGTGACCTGCAGAAAAGCTGCTAGATCTCATAACTAAGAGATCCAGGATGAACAGAGTTGCTCCAATTGTCAGCAGGAGCGAGACAGTACTGTTTCGACCCACCAGGTCTAATCATCAGCCACTCTCGATCTGCTGACAACTGACACTACTCTACGCTTCGGGTATATCACCCATTTCGAAGACGCAGGGTATAACATGGAGAATAAGACATGTAATCTTCGTTATTCGAGAATACAACCGGGTCGGGTTCGTCCGGAACTTCGTATTCATTACTCAGAAGGGATGAAACGGGAAAATCGTCCTTCTCCTCGGATTCCAGTGTTTCGGCGTCGTCCTGACAGTATTGTGCGTTGAGGCAGGATACTCCAAGGCAATATCCGCAAATAATCGAGCATCTGAGACCCGCTTTTCTGCATCCGCAGGCTTCCGTGCAACCTTACTTGCAATTGCAAGAAATCATATGGAGCAAATAATCTGGAGCAGCAGGTAGGGTAGTTGGCACAGGTACCAGACGAACAGCACTCAGGACATTTTTGAAAACCCAACCACTTTTGAACCTGGTGAACTGAAGAAGTGCTGCCTCAAAGCTGCTTTCGTCGGTGGCAGAGGAGCCAGATCTACTTTTTTGTTGGTAACAGATTTAGCCAACAGATTGTACCGGAGCTTGTTCAATGATGTTTCCGTTGTATGGACACCATACAGAGCTAGAACGAATCATTCACATGCTGCAGATACTTCTTCACTCGTAGCTTCCGGGTTGTTGAAAGTCTTTGCAACTTCTCATAATGTTGACCGGGCCTTCATGAGTTTGAAGCATTTCAACTTTCCTTTTTTGAAGAAACATGATGTGGTATCACAACCTCCAAAGGCATGTAAGAAGAGGATAATGCTCTGTAATTTAGTACTGGTTTGTAGTTCGCGGGAACAGTACTTTTTTGCCTCTACATTGCCTCTTTTGGTTTGACAAAATAAAATGTTGCGTTCTACTGGAGCCAAAGCTATGAGTAGAATAAGTAGATCTACATCTTCCCCAACAACGGTGACTCGAGAAGAGCAAGGCATTTCAATAGCTGTCTGTATTATCAGCGAATCCGCATCGTCCACTGCTTGCTTTTTGATGAACCCTTCGTTTCTCATTTTTTCTGATAATATAGCAATCAATCGCTACTTGTTCTTTGAGTAAGCTGATGATTCTTCTTTTGCGACAGTGACCGGCATGTTTTCATTCTGTGTATTCTACAGCGTTGCCACATTTTGTTGAATTCAACGAGTTCTCACTGGTTTTCTCATTATTCCGCACTCTTTCTCCTCTTTGCCAAATCTTGCTCATCATCGTCATGACCAGTAGGTACGCAAAATATGCTCAATCATTTTTGTAGGGGCTACAATTCATTTATTTCAACATCGAATTCTTGCTCTTCGAGCTACTTTAGGTTACAGGATGGCTCACTTGAGAAAACATAAATATGTGGCAACACTGGTATTCTGTAATGGCTGATCGCTGTTGCGAGGATCCTCGAAGATAGCGCCGACTCTCTGATAGTTACTTGTAGATGGAATATATGTATATCGGAATAATTATGAGTAAGTTTCTCAAATATCGCATATTGTTTTACGATTTAAAAATAAATCATGCACTGAACGAGTATTTATGTTGTGAACTTTTTTTTTCTAAATTCAATCACCTTCATTTTTGCTCGGCATTTTGATATCGATAAAATTAACAAATACTGAGATATAACCGAGTAACATTTTTCGAGATGGCGGAGTTAGCTCTACAGGTACAGGTGGTGACTTTTTTTTGGTTGAAAGTCATGCCAAAGGGAACATGTACACCAATTTTCAAAACTTTGGATTCGATTCCCGCTATTCGTCAAATTCGATACTAAGGTGATTGGGCTAATACGGGCATACCTCAGAGCGACTACAAGAAATATCTTATTTGTTTTAAATGTGTACAACAACCGTCGAAGCCGGGCCAGACAGCTATAATCTAATATACATATTACGAATACCCATCATTCAAATAATAATTGAATAATATGTTAATTCGATTACAGTTCGAAATTGGTAGAAGGGAACTTATAATATTTGTCTAATAAACGGCATCACATTCGGTCAGAATATTATATCCAAACTAATATATGAATGACGTAAGTGAGTCACAGATGAATGACTAGCTTTGGACATCGTAGCGACGTCTATTCTTGGAAATATATGCCCGAATTTCTCGTTTCAAGATTTGCTCTAATCATCACTTCAATGAGGAACAATGTGATAAGGGGAAACGTAGTTTTCAAATCATATATTCATACATTTCAGAAATAACACTCAAAATCAGACTATTTGAAACAAATCAGTATTCCTAGTTTCACATATATATTTGAGATTCACAAAGCTCACTTATTCATTTCAACAAAACACTGGATGTGATAACAGAAAATGTTCGATAATTTCATGAAGATATCGATGGGTTCACCGTCATACAAGACACGTTTATACTTTCGACTGTCCTTTGAATGGCGGAGTCAATTACTATTCCTGGACAACAGCCACTGTTGTTTCCACTATCATCGACGCGGCCCATGAGGCCGATGACTCGCCATGTTGCCAGATTTCGAACACACATAAACAAATTAGAAAATATAAAGAATATTGAAGGTTTTTGCTTCCGAAAAACTAGTTTTTGTAATCAAATATCCGATGTCACTTCTGTCAGTCTAATTCTGTGATTTGATTTCAAAAAATTGCGAATTCAGTGGTTGTTCAGCAATATACGTAACCGCGAAGTCGAATGGAAGATAAAAGGACTTCAGTTCTTTCTCGGAGACGGTATTATTGACTAATTTTTCGTAACTATAGCACGACAAAAGCCATCAACAGTGTATATATATGTGATTATATCAAGGAAAAAAAGTACTCACTTTTTTCCCACGGGAAAAAAGTAATTCATGAAAAGTGACATTTTATAACCTGCCAACGGGGATGAAATGCCAAACTTTTTTCCCGTCACAGAAAAAACTGTATTATAACTGTAGCTTCATCATGCAACTGACTTTCAATTAGAAATTATCGACAAAAATATGTTCTAGAAAAAAAATAATCTTGCCCCAAATATTCGTTATGTTCAGTGTTCAGTATTATCAAGCATTCAGGAGCAAAATTCATTCAAAGGATTTCTTGAGTACTGACCTGATGCCAAAGCCATGAAACTGCTCCATATATTTCATCTGATCTAGGACTCTCACAAAATATATCATTCATTTGATATAACAAAACTATATAGTAAAAATCAAAGAAAATATCAGGAACTGAAAGTTGCGATAGATTGTTCAGATTTGAAATACATGTGTATGATCGGAATAGAAAAAAAACCTTCCATGAGTACATGGAAGCTCCAGAAAACAAGTAAGGCGCACCCGAGGCTAGGACACCAGCCAAAGCTTCAGTTCTCAGGAGATGAAATTGGTACAGTTGTACTCTATCAGTGAGTGCTGATTTCGAGTTTCAACTCACATATAAACGTCCTATTTCTTTGTTGGGTCACGAAATAACGTTCATATATTCCGCAGAGTATAATTTTACGGCTGAAAATATGGAAATGAGTTCCCCCGTAAAGATGTATCTATTCGACAATGTGTTCCGAAGGTTTTTCTAAGGAGAAACTGGGTCAATGCCAATGCTTTTTTCTCAATATCAATTTGATAATAGATGTTCATTAATGATGATTATTTTTTGAAAAAAATTGTTAGTTGTGGAAAGCTATAACTAAACACCATATTTGCCAGAGTAGCGCTGTTTGGAGTACATTGTACAGGTCTAAATCTTTATACCGTTTGGATATTTGAGATGTATTATTTAATACGCGAGATCATTTTGCCCGGAACTCTCCAACTTACATGTTATTTCTTAGAATTTCAAGTATATTCTCCCTTCATGATTGATATAAACTGTGTTGATATTTCAGATAACGTGCTAAAAATGATTCACATCAAGATAATTTGAATGACGAACTTCAGATAGTTTTTCCATAAAATTAAATTCACTCCCTATTCTCCAGAACCAACAGAATTATCAAGAAGTTATTGGTTAAAGTGGTATTTATACACTATTGGATTCATAAAATTACGCAAATTGGTAGGAAAGGTATCGATTGGTCGATGAAATATCGAACTATTTGATTCGATCTAAGAATGGTCTAATTCAGGTTGGTATCGATCCAACTACTTCGAATGAACATAATCTATATTTCAATGACTCTTGAGTAATCGGTATTCATATTCGAAATTTCTTGAGGGCATAAAACAGCAGACATTCAGATATGAAGGTACGAAATCATTTCAAGAATCATAAAAGTCTTCTTTCTCTTTGTATACTACAACAGACATTTTTAATTGTATCATAAACTAGCAATTTTCCTCCGGGATAAATAAACGGGTCTTATTGAAATTTTATATTGTGCTCATTAAAAACATAGGATGTTCGTTAACATCCGACGTGGAATAAACTGAGCTATTCGAACCTTTAAACAGCGTAATAAAGTAAATACCTACCTTATAGGGACTCAAATTGTCTACTGCGCAGTCTAATACGGCTTCTCTTCCTACAGCTACTGTGAGATTCGTTACTGGTTCTCTAAAGGTTGGCAATTCTGGAACAAAAAATATGAATTGGTTGTGGATATTGTTGGAACATGTAATTATTGAAAACGTGTAATTTATATATACCTCCAGATCGTTTGCCCAATCGCTACATTCAGATGGCAACATAACTAGAGAGACTGATTACCTATTATATTCAGATCAACAATGTATCAATGGTTATGCTTTTTATAATTTTTTTATATTTTTCATATTGATCGTTTTGAATACCTATCATGAACGATGTTTTTTGGTATCTACAATGCATATTTGATTTGATTTTATTAGATCTAGCGCAAAAACGGTAGACTTGGCAACACTGGTGACCACAGTGAAACAACCACTAGGATTTCCGTATCTGGCCAAGTCGCCAAATCTCACTCATTCTTTATAATTCCATATGTCATCATGTATCAGTACATATATGCAAACGAGAGGGATATTCGAATTTGAAGCTGATGGCCCATCCGCAAGATGGTTTATTAATAAATTTCAAAAGAATACCAATTGGTAATACCGCTTGTAGTTTGTATTACGTAGATCCATAATCGACTAATGCTTTATTGAAACACCGTAATCATCTCAGATCAACGACTCATCAAATATCAGATAACTAAGTATATCGTTTTTTTTTAAATCCTCAGTTCATATTATTATTATCATCAATCTTTTTTGAACACCGTGCAATCGGCATTCTATAGATGGATTGTGTATTATTGGAGCACTTTGTTCGAAATGATGATATAACAATTATTGTAAGTGACAAATAAAGATCTAGTTATGATTTCGAATGATATTTGGAAACGGTTATTGTCATTCTGGTATAGGGGAGCCAATCCAAAGGCAAATAACTCGGAAGTTCTGCCGTTTTATAGACAAACGTGTTTTGGTGAAGTGTGAAGGCTGATCGCAAAACGATGTGCTGACTGGCCCTGTCGTGTTCGTTGAAGTGCATATGAAAGAGAATTTTTTCCTCCAAATAATATAGCCTAACTCGGCCTTTATTGATATTGAGAAGGATAGAGAATGGGAGAATAAAAATAATGCATGCATGACCTAGATATCGAAGTCGATGATAAGGTAATAGACATCAACATTCGTGGAATTTTGAGTGCTAACTTCAGACAGTATCTTGAAGTTTACTAACATTATTATACTATATACGAAGAATTAAAATACAAAATACTACCATGCTGCCATGCTCAGCATCTATGACAGTTATTCACGATACTCAGTTCATTATATCATGAAGATTGGTCCTCTAAAAATATTCATTGCTGTAGCATATCAGGAACAAGAGTAGACGAAATGATTAGTGAGACTTGGATGGATATCGGATGAGTATTATTCTTGAGCCTGCTTGAAGAAAATAATCTCGTTGAAAGTGAATCGATGTTTCTTCATGAATTTCATAATCAAACCTTCATAATTAGGCAATAAACAGGGGTACATTCATTAACACTGTCTAGTGACTCAAAATCGAATTCGGTCTCCATAACATCTTTCTCCTAATGAATCAGCTTTATTTATAGATTGACGTACTTAAGACGTATTTGAAGTTCTAACAATGACTGATCTGATTGGTCAAAACGGCTTACATATTCTCATCCCAACCTAAAAATTACTATCTACTGACATCAGAGTGGTTTTGATATGCGGTTTACCTGAATCCACGATGATGACTCAATTCCGGTGAATTAACATCGCGGTTACAATGAAATAAGAGATCTAATTAGTGTTGAAAATATAGGTGATACCCCGATTGTATGTTGCCACATAGCAATATCATCAATATTATCAAATCCATTGAGATATAACTCCATTCAACTTGACTGAAGCATCTTATTACACTACATTATTCAGCCATATCGAAGCCATATTATATTCCTCTGGAATAGCATGACCATATTTAATATCTAGAATAGCGGAGAAACCATCATGTGATTGCCTTCTACGCCTCAAAGAGGTGGATGGTTGCATTATTTACTCTCTGAAATTAAATGTGTAGACACACATTTCACTTCAGAAATATCGATCGCCCCTTCAGCTTCAAATTGTGCAGCTATATTCATCATTATGATCCATATTATAATAATTATTATCATTTTCATTATACGATCACTAGGTGAGAAAATCCCAGCAAATCTAGAGAACAATGTTTGATAATCATAATAATGATTATAATAATGATAATGATAATAAAAATGATAATAATGAAAATATAATAATAATGATAATTGATTAACCCCACAGGCTGTTGCTTCGGAGGCTGCAGAGTCGTGACTGGAATAATATGAATTCAAATAATAATAATTATCATCATCATAATGTGTCGTTATTCCTCATCGGTGAATAAAATACACAACCAGTTCTGAAATTAAATTCATGAAGATGATAAATAGGAGGGGTTCAGCGCTCCTTTTAGACCCAACCTCAGAAGACAAAAGGGTAGGCGATCATAACAAGTATACTAACAGTTAATCAAATACGATACTCACAGTGATGGTAGGTAAAGAGATTAAGTTGGGAATATTGATAATGGTGATAATAGTGATGAAAACAGTGTTCATAATGATAGTATCAACAATAGTGAGAATAAGTTAATAATTTTGATGATAATAATAATATAAGTGATGCATACGTTACATTGTATATCGTCACGCCTATAGTGAGGAGGTATATCATCATCATCATCTTGTTAGAAACAATCTCTCCTTGAAATATTTCGAAATGAATTATTTCAGTTCCGTGGAAAGGGTTTTACAATTCAAGAAGCATTATTCTAGAAGCACCAGGTGAATAGTGCAGCGTGGTGTTTGGGAATGAGTGGAATATGTTTGTTACTGGAGGAGTTATAACGTGAAAGTACAAGCAATATTTTACGCAGGTATGACTGGTATCCAGTTTTCAATATTTTGCGGGTGAGAGTTAGCATGTCAATTTTCCATCTTCCTACAGAACTTCGATTTCAGCCCACCTGAATCCTGGAATGATGTTCTGATATGGCTATACCTACATACGGTTGCCGTATGAGAATCTCATGCAGCTATTATGTATCCTTCGTTGCTTTGTAGCATCTGTATCTGATAGAACCATAAATACAGTCACAGTAGGCCAGTCTCAAACAAAGGTAAGTTAGGTAGCTATATTTCTGTCATGAACTAATTCACGAGACCTAAGAGTATTCCAAGTAGATCTAGGGTAATTTCGTCGAAAGACGAATATGCATATTTTTCACGACGAACGGCATCAAATTGAAGTTTTTTTAATAACAAAATTCATGTCTACTGAACTATCAATGATGTATTATGAATATATTCAATTGAATTGAATTGACTCTTCTCAATTTTTCAAAACAATTCAATCTGAATAACCACCGAAGTTTCGTGAATCATAACAGAAAAAATGTGTCATTCAGAGGAACTGACGACTGACGTTGCAAAAGGATCAATTTTTCTGCACATGCTGAGTTGCAATGACTAAATGAAAATCCGACCAGCAGGGCGTATGTTCTCGAAAGTTAGTTAGTGAACGGTGAACGCTTGCCAAAGCTTTATTTAGCTAGGTTTCCTTGGAAAACTAGGACAGCTCTCCGCTTAGTCATGAATATTCCTTGTACTCACTGAAATAGCAGCCATTTTTTCATGACTTATCATTTAACACCAATCGCTACTGCCTGAATTACCATACCGCTATCCATGCATTGAGCAATGAAACATAAAGAACACTAGAATTCTTTCATAGGGCATCTGCAAATGGATCTTCTTATTTTCTGACATTTTTTAGTGCTGTTACGATACACCGAGAGAAATATCTATTAGCTGTAATACGAAATTGTATAACCATTAAAAGATTTCTGAATTGAATAGGCGCCAGCATAGTTCCCATTTCACTGTAATCACGTACATCATTTCAAAAAAATCATATAGGTGCCTGTGAAATATCCCTTATATGAGAATAAAATGACACTCATATAGGGGTCAAATGACTAGCATTTCAATGCTATACGATGATATTATAAAAATGAGAAGATATTCATATGAATTTGACTTGTTTTCATTTTGTTAGTCAAATAAATAGCATTTCAATATTGAATAGTGATATTATAAAAATAAAATAATACTCATATCAATATAATTTGCTTTCAATTTCATAGTCAAATGATTACATGGTATTTCAGAAGTAGGATGATCAATTTTTCTCCAGAAAAATGAAGTGGGTTGAAACTCTTCGAGAAATATTGAAGACATATATACTTGGTATATATACTCACCCCAAAGTGAAGTTTTTTTTGGAACTTCAGGGCATTGAAGTGCATCGTAAGGACGATATACTCAGTTTACAATATCTCAGTTTGTGTAGGACAAAAATGCTTCCAATTTGGATTATTTGTTCTCATTGTCAATGCATTGGATTATTAGTTAACATAGTGGCCAAAAATGTAATTACACAGTATCGTCAGTAAATTAGAGTTCACATTTGCAGATTTCGTTTCATTTTATTTATACCGTTATTGCCACTTGAGATTTACAAAAGAGCGTTGAGAGACTTTTCTTACGACGTTTTCGAGATCCCCATGATAGTAATCATTAATCTTGGACACAATGTATACGCAATACAATCTATCACCGATAAAACTGTTTAAATCCAAAATTTTGTCACTTAGTGAATAGTGAGGTGAGTTAAAAAAATAAAAGTTTACACTATAACGCCTAGAGGCAGTTCAACATTCTGTAGTTCCTCAACAAATCTTGGGGGATATATAAACAAATATGTCCCTAATATTTCTAGATGATCTCTCAACCACTTCACTTTCTCGAAAAAAAAATATCACTCTGCAAGAAGAGTTCACGAGCTGCCGCGAGCTAATATGTCCTTTCATATCAGGAATCCGGAGACGACTAACGATTCCCATCGAACAATAAGTGTTTATAGGTGACTGAGGTGACTCATTAAGGTAAACGAGTATGACAAAGATGGAAAATGATAGAAGGAATGAAATCAAATGATA